TCCATTCATCTATTTGTGTTTTGTAAAGCAAGAGGAATGCCTGACGCTACCACAGCAGACAGCTGAAGAGTTGCTTGTTTCGGAGCTTGCACGGGGCCAGGCCAGAGGCACTTTCTGTAAGAATCCGTGAATAAATACTTACGCGCAGAGAGCGTGTGCGGGCGCCTATTGCATATGCCTCAAGAGCAGGCAGCCAGACACGGGTGGTGATGGGCTCGGAGCTACGAACAGAGCGATGAGAGAATGTGTCGTGTTACAACGGGACCCGTGTGTTGAAAGTTTTCTCTAGTCTTCTCTTCGAGGAGCACCAGACCAGAAGACATAGGCCTTCCAGGTTTCGTGCTCCAGCTCTTCCCACATTTTGCAAAGCTTGACCGTGAAGTTGCGCAGCGGAGCTCATGGGAGGCGACGAGGGCTCATCAATGTTTGTGTGCGCCCCCACCCCAACACCTGATGTGGCACGCGCTGTTTGGCATCGGAAAGAAGAGTCCAGCAAACAGCGGCATTGCCGGTAAAGCACTCCCGGACTCAACGCGCTTTCCTCTTGGTTTTCCGCACAAGATGCGGTGCGCGGGCGAGGGTGGGGACGAAACAGAAATTCGCAAAAGAGAGAGTGGAGTCAAGGTGCAGGATGCTAGCCCGGCGGGGCGGTACGACCCGCTCTACCCCAACGGGCCTCTTGCACAATCCAGCCATTCCATCGGCCAAGAGACAAGAGCCAGCATGACAGGACGGAACGAAAGAAGTGGAGCATGGAACAAACACGGAGAATCATGAAAAGGACAGACATGCCCCCCTCGAGCGATTGGTCTTGGGGGTTCCATGGACTTCAAGGTTCCATTTTCTTCGTCAGTCCTGGAATGCTGGAGCTCGAGTCGCACCTTTGGAATGACGAGTCTCGTTTTGGCATTCGCCTCCCCAGGCAGACGCCTTATGAGTACTTACGCTGCCATCTTCGCGAAGATTGACTGTTTAAACCCGCTGCTCTGGTAGTAGCAGGTTGCGCCATCCTGCAGATTTTCCTCCAAGAAGTGTGTGCGTGTGTATGTTTGTGTGAAGAGCGAGCTTTTTCAGAAGTTTGCTTGGACTTAGAGGCACAGGAGCGTGAAGCTTGAGCTGGAAATCCAGGACGGCACGTCTGCGATTGTGCGCGCATGCCTCTGCGCATTAACCCGAGAGCCGTCTGACCCAATGAAAAGACATCAGTGCGTTTCCAGATCCAATATGCAAGACAACGATTGAAATCGGGCCAAGGTTTGCAGGCCTAAGGGAGAGTTCGCAAACGTGCAACAGGGCAGGTACCGTGGGTCATGCAGGTTGGCGCTGCTGTGTCCGCTTGGTTTTCCGTAAAGGGAATTTAGATGTCTTCAGGCCTTGTTACGGGTATCGGCTATGAGCGTCCCCCTGGCAGAATTGGCGACACAGACCTTTGGACCTTTGGGGAGGGCACCGGAGTGGATATTATCGAGGGAACCTGTGCCATCTTTAGCTCGTCAAGAAACTGGATGAAAGAATTTTCAAAGGTCAACCGCAACGGACAAAGCGTAGAGCCGAAGGTTGGATGCGAGAGCTGGTTAGGCCTAACACGCAATCCTCCCGTGATAGAGCAAAGGTTCGCACTTGTCACTTGTGCAGCGGCTGTGTGGTGTATTGGTGATGCTTGTCTCAGGGTTTGGCTGATCTCCAGCTTTTCTGAGGCACCAATTCAATTTGAAGCACCGGGCTGGAAAATCAATCCGATGGATGGCATGATGTGGTTTGGGGATATTTGGCCATTAGTCAGCTCCCTATGCGATGCGTTTGGCCTTTATTTTGTTTATCTCCGTCATTATTCAACCTGTCGCTTGTAGGAAGCGCTTTGATTGTGTTGAGATAGAATCGGCTCTGGGAACGGGGCTCGAAGACACCCCATCGACTGTTTAGACTCTCATCCGCTTGCTGGGCCCAACAGAAAGCCGGCGGCTGACTACACCGCAAGCATAACCCGATACCAGTTGGCAGCCCATGCTACAGGGTGGGTGAGAGACAAAGGCTTGGCGCATCTCTCCGTTGGAATCCGGTGCACAGTCACCTGCGAATGCCTTTCTAAGACACCCATATGGTTTCATGACCAGGGCAGGGCAGGGTGGCAGTGTCCGAGCTAGCTGTTGGTTACTTTACAAGAACTTTGAATCTCTTGCCAAGGCAGAATGCAAAAGGAGTAGACCAGACTGAATCTAGCCCACAATCAAACCACTTCTGGATAGTGCCACCTGAGGCTGTTCAACGGCCTGCTCTCGCTCGAGAGTTTGAGACGACGACGGGTTTGTTTGGAGGTTTTGCCCCGCAACAGTACCATGCCTGCGTCTCAGCTCATCGAAAACTCACAACGGATCATCACGCAAGAGATCCGGAGACCAGCCTTTGACGCCGCAGCGATCTGGTTGATTTGCCACCAGAAGCCAAGGGCCATTGGTTTCAAGGAGTGTGAGGGCACGATACGCGTCGCAGGCTGGGGCCATGTGCCCTCAATTGCTTACCTGCCTAGATAACAGACCAGGATGTTTCAACGCCCTGGAAAAGGAACGAGCGGCCCCTGTGGAGGCATCGATGCTGGCGGTTTTTGTTGGGAGTACCTTCAATGGGATCGGCTTCTAGGCACTCCTTCTCGGATGAAACTTGCCCAAGGATGCGCCCCTCCAATGTGCCCTGGTCAGAATAATGCACCTGGTTGTTCTGGGCGGATCATCAATCCGTTCATTGGATTTCAGCAACTCACTGAACGATGCTCAGGAGTTTGACCCTGGCACCCCTGGCTGACTTGGAAAATCGGCACCCCTGGTAGTGACCAGAGTTTGCTTCAATTGTTCACACTTTGTCAAGGGAATTGGAAGCACCCTCAAACATAGTCGGACGTATATAGATCGAATCAAGCAAATGACTGCCGCCGAAGGGTCCGACCAATTCAAGTTAATATAATCTGCCCCTAACATGGAACCTGACTGGGGAGTCCGCAAGGTGGGTTCCACGCGCAGAGGGCAACCAAATGGGAGTCATACCTGTGTCGCCCGGTGCGAGAGGTTAGACCTGTAAATCCATTCGGAAGCACCGTCAGGTGCTCCTGGGCCTGCAGTACCTGCACGACGGCAAGCGGGGTGCTCGGTAGCAAGTTGTTGGTTTCCGATTCAACTTTCTGTGCAAACGGAATCTCCTTATGAGACAAGTAGTGGATGGGAATGAAAATGGAACAACCACAGTACAAGGGGATCCTCGAAATCAAATGGCAGAAGTTGATGTTTTAGCTAGCCCAAATGTATCTTTTAAGCGCCGCTGTGTAAGAGGTACTCGTACCAATGCGTGCTACCCTAGTCTTCCAACACCCTCTTGTCAGCTTCCATGATTGCTGGAGGGAGGGTAAATATCCCATATGTGCAGCGCACAAAACCCCCATTTGCGGCCATTTAGTGGGTGATTCTACTACCTGGTTGAAGAATCATTATACGAAGCCTTAGTAAGGTCTTTACAATAAAACTGTATAATCTTTAGAACATTTTAGAACCACCTTGGTAAACCCAAAGTCAAAGGGTTTTCCTCAGCTCATTTGCGGATTAAAAGGACACCACAAGAGGATGGTTAGGTGTCGAACTCGTCTAAAAACTAGTGATGGATGAGACAGACAAGTTGTTTCCAGGGCTCGCAGCATGACGAGGAGGTGTCATTTGTGGGGTGAATTGTGATACTGAAGCTGATTCCCTGCCCTGCTGCAAGTACACTGGTCAACTGAGCCACAATCATAAACCATTGAGAAGGTTCGTACGGGATAGTTCACAATTGAAACCAGAAATAATAAGCCACCCATTTGATTCCCTAAGCGGATTTGGCTAGACCCCTTCCAATACTAGGCGTCGTTTGCGACTTGAGATTGTACTTGATACCACTCTGTGCTGGCTTCCCAGCTGTTGCGATCGTAGTTGTCACCTTTACGCACCTGGTGTCAAGCGCGTCCCTTGTCGAAGCGGATTGGGGAGGATTTGTTGCTGCAGAATCCGGCGATCGCTTTACTTTTTGGAGGGCGCTATTAAGTGCTCGTCCTGCCGAGTCTCCTGGCAACAAACCAGGGCACCCACTTCAAATCTCTTGTCCTCATGGGAAATACAATTGAGGAACTGGTTGCAATTGAGACACAAGCAAGCTAAGTTGGGCAGAGTCTCAACCATAGACAAGCGCGGATATCCGGCCTGTTGGATTTCTTGCATAGGTGTGTATGTGTGTGTGTGCTACCAGAGATGGGTTCTCCAAATAGGGTACTATAGGGTACCACTGATATTGCGGCCAATAGCAGCTCCGAGAACCCACAAGGTTGGTGGCAAAAGATGGGACCCACAAAGAAGTGGCTGGTTGCCGTTTGATGTCATGCAACCTAAGCTAGGAAGATCCACCGGGACGTGAAGGCCGGGAACATCCTCCTCACCAAGGCGTGCGGAGGCTTAGTTTCCGGAACAGCTGCATAGGTGTCAATTCCGGTCGGAGAACATGTTATGAGGATTCGGGTTTCCTTGCTTCTAAGTACCAATGCCGTCGAAATTTTAAAACAACCAGTTGGACACCTTTTTTTTGACATTTCGCTGATTGGTCTTGCTAGGTTTCAACGACGGGCGAAAGGGCTGGGCATCTCCCTCTTTTCCAAACAAGATCGAGCACCTGACTGTCCAAATGTTGCCTTTTTCTGCGAGACTTTGTGAGAAGCTCTCACAAGTCCCACTGGGACTGGGAGTCGCAACCCTTTCGACGCGCCAAGCAGGTTAAGCAATTTTTTCAGGCAGTGTTACAGAGAACACGAAGGGGAGCTCGAATCCGCCAAACGCCGACGCAAACAACGACCTCAGTGGCTACAGGAGACAGGAGCGGCCATCTCTTTTTCTTCTTAAATCAACCCGTGGCCGTGGGCTTCCAGTTTTCAACCAGGTTTTGCTACGTGCCCTGGTTACCTACAATGGCTGGAAGTAGTGGGAACTCAACCGATGAGGTTCCAGCCGAAGTTGGCGGACTTTGGCATTAGCTGCCAGCTCCAGAACACCTGGGCGCGCCGGAACACGCAGATTGGCTCGCGCGGGGCCCCGGGGATCAAGAGAAAGCCACTCACACATGTCAATGTGTGTCCCCAAGTTTAGATTTGTTGGCTGGAAGGGTTGATGAGCGACTTCAGAGCCAGTTGGGTAATCCAAGCTTAGGATTGAAGAGGGCGAGAGATAGGCAGACAGGCAGGCAGGTAGACAGGCAGACAGGCAGACAGGCCAGACAGGACTGACAGGACTGACAGGACTGACAGGACTGACACGATAGGGAGAGAGGGCAAGCAAGCAAGCAGGCAGGCAGGCAGGCAGGCAGGCATGCAGGCAAGCAGGCAAGCAGGCAAGCAGGCAAGCAGGCAAGCAGGCAAGCAGGCAAGCACGCAAGCACGCAAGCACGCAAGCACGCAAGCAAGCAAGCAAGAAAGCAAGCAAGCAAGACAAGACAAGCAAGAGCAAGCAAGCAAGAACAAGCAATAACAAGCAAGAGCAAGCAAGCAAGAGCAAGGAAGCAAGAGCAAGCAAGCAAGAGCAAGCAAGCAAGAGCGAGCAACGGCAGGTAGGCAGCCAGGCAAGCAAGCAGGCAGGCAGGCCAGGCAGACAGGCAGGCACGCTGGCAGGCAGAAAGACAGAGCACAAACGAAAGCAAGAGACGGCGAGAGACTGCGAGAGAGTGCGAGAGCCTCTGAAGGCCGTACTGGATGGCGCCAGAAGTCATCAAGGGGGAGGTGCGACCAGCCTTTGTTCCCAACTGACGAGGCCTTTTGTTTGCCTTTTACAGGCAAACATGAGTTGAACCAAACGAATCCGAATGTTGTAACATGCCAGGGTTGCAGTATGCGAGTGTTTGTTGCTTCACGATTCAGTCCCAAGCGAACATGGAGCCCCCGATTGGCCCTTTGGTGTGGGTGTTGTGTGGAGGTTTGGAATTTGCAATCGAGTGCATGAGCATCGCGATGAAACTACCCATCTGCTTGGCTGCTGTGCCTTACACGCAGAGATCGTGCAGGAACAGGCCGCAGGCTCAAACAGCTGCATCGAAGATCTGCTGGGAAAGCTGAGCCTCGACATGGTGTGTATGAGCAGTTTGAGCCTGGCGCGGTTTGCAAATGTTCAGTCAGCCTTCCGAACTCAAATATGCTTTGCATCCTTGCTTTCCTATGCTCAAGCTCACAGCTGTTTTGGTCGTGTTCGTGTCGCCAGGCGTACAATGCCACGGCTGACATTTGGTCACTTGGTATCACCTGCATCGAGATGGTCTGCCCGTGCCCGGTTGTCCATTTGCCCGTTTGCCCTTGCATTCGCTCTCAAACCTCAAACTGGCACCCCCGAAATGGCACCCAATTTCCTTTTGGTGTCCTTGTAAACAAGTGGTTACCCTGAACAGTGGAGACAACAAATTCTCGGTGCAAACAGCACCTGTATGGTCAAACATGTGTGTGTGTGTGACCTTAGGGTGTAGGGGAGACGTCCCGTCGGTGAAAGTCAATGATCTGCTGTTAGGTCGTTGGAGACGGTCCTTGAATCCTATTTGTTTCTCCATTCCTGGTTTGCATGCGCCAAAACAATGGACCCCTGAGTGATTTCAACACACCATGAGGCCAACTGCACTTCTCACGGCCGGACCCGCGCGAATGCGTCCCTGGCTCCGGCCAGGCTGACTGTCACCCGCCCTACTATCACATCCCCCCGACGCGGGCCATGTTCGTCATCAGCACTAAGCCCCCCACAGGCCGGTGAATTCGAAAGTGGCCACTCGCAAGTTGGGGGTTCGGCAGTTAGGAGTGATTGGAAGGTGGGCGGCGCAGTTTACATTAATTAAAGCTGACCGTATGGGGAAAGTGTAGCTTGGGTCGACGCTTCGGTTGGAGGGGAATCAATACAATGAGCAGGGGTTTAGATGATCATGAGGAATGCAAAGGCAATCAATCGTACTGAGTGGCTACATAGAATCCATATGGTTCGCCTTGGGCAGCGGCTTGGGGGATCAAGAGGGTAACGGACCTGTAACAGACCGGTAACGGAGGGCATTTGAGCCTGCGTGGTTGCATGCTCAGGTCATTCAATATTGGGCAAGTGTTTGGTTCCTGTGGTTGGTGCCACGCAACAGGAAACCGGCCAGCAGAGGACATTTTGGCCGTGGAACTTGGCACGTTGGTTCGCTTGCCTAAAACATTTGTAGATGCAGCCGGAGGCTTGACGGACGCCTCCAACTCGTCCCCCGACTTCGTGAAGTTTGTGCCCGCGAACCCAGACATGTGGGTTTCCCTCGGTGCTTGACTGCAGTGAGCGAAGGCGTTTTCCATGTCGAGCGGCCGAGGTCGGCGTGCCTCACGGTGCATTCCTCTGAGAGACCGCCAGCACAGGCACAAAGCAGTGTGACGGGCGATGTCCTTGATGTCCCGGCCATGAAACTGTTCGATATGACGCAATGTCGCTTGTCTTGCTGCGAACGAGAGAGCAGCGCTTTAGTTCGCTATGAGACTCTTGTTTCTTCAGCTTCACCTCTGATGTTTTTGCTTGGCCCCCTCAACTGACAGGGCAAGTGGGGCAAGATAGGGCAAGCACGAGTGAAGGTTACTGCGGGTGCTTCAGTGAATCTGGTCTTGTGTCTTCGGGTACATTGGAGTGATACCTCAGTCTTCGAACCAAATAGGAACATACAACCTCTGGTATCTCAACCACCAACCCAAGCATGCCGGTGGCTTTTTAGGGTTCGCACCTCGTCTTCCAGTCTCACCCCCAGGACCTTGCAGAAAGGTTTCGAGGTTTGTATTTTGTAAAGGCTTGAGTTGGAGGGCAATCTCCAGAAAGTTAAGGGAATCCCTGGACAAGCACCATTTCGGAGTTTGGGCACCCCCCCTTGGTTGATTCCTGACTGGAAACCAAACGGAAAGAGCGGACCATTTAAACTTAAACAAGTCCCTGTCTTATTTCACCCGGTCCAGTTGCCTTGGTTGCCACTCACAGACGCAAATCTAGTTGCCCAGCCAATGCAGGTGCTGCTGCAGCACCCCTTCACCCAGCTGGCGGAGCGTGACCGCTCAGAGCCCTGCCAGGCGAGGGATCCGGCGACTGTCTTGCCGCGAGAAACGGGCTGCTTCCAGTCGAGAACCATCCCCAAATATCCCCAAATTGCTGATCTATTCAAAGTGATCGCGCCGGTGTCCAGGGAACTCGAGCGAATGCTCCTGCCTTCCTCCGAAGTTTTGTCGGGGATATTGGCCCATGCTTCGCGAGGAGTTGCAATCAGCCCTATTTCCCAATCAACACATCATGTTCATTAGAATGCGTTTTTATTTCTGGGCCTGCGGCCTCTAGCCGGCTACGCCTCTTTGAAGTTATACCATGTCATGTCATGTTTTTTGTATGAGAAACGTATCCTGTGCTATGATATGGCTGGTTAGGTTATGCATGTTGCCCACCCCAACCCCAGATGATGCCGGGGATGCCAGCTTTCTGGGCCCCAGCCGGGCCCCAACCCAGAAGGCTGACATGGGGTCGCGCGCGCGCGCGCCACAGGCCCCAGAAAGAGCAGCCCAAAAAAAGCAGCCCGCAAGCCAGCCTGGAAACGCAATACAACAAAACACCGTAAATAGCAGCGTTTTGTGGCTGGGGTCGCGCGCGCGCGCCAGAAGGCCCGAAAACCAACGCGAAAAAAGCAAGGACCGCGCAGGACGCGAGCCGAACAACAGTCCACCGCTCAGCACAGCAGCTTTTGACGGTATGTACAGCGTTTTGTAGAGCGAGGACCCAGCATCGCCGGCATGCCCGGCAGCGGCGCGAAAATGAGCCTCGCTTATATCCCTCCGACACCTTCTAAAAAACAGTGCTTCATGGGCTGACAGGCTTTTTGGAAGGAAGTCTTGATGATGCAGACAAAGCCCCGCTGAAGCATCACCCAGGACCCTGACGATGTCAGCCACAGGCCTAAACCCTGCACACACGCGATGTTTTGTTTTGCGAGGGTTTCTCACAGGCAAGCAAAACCGCAAGCCCGAGCTGGTGATGCAGAGGTGCCGGATTTAGGCAGCGCATCACGACCAAGTGGCGAGGGTCGGCGGCACCAGGGTGCAGCCCCTATAGCTAAAGCTAGCAGGCTAATTGCCTAGCGGCGACATGCTACCCCAGGAGGCGTAGCCGGATCTAAGGGCTGCCGCCCTGTGCCGCCGCCCCCGGCTTGCTTATAACAATTATCACTACGCGTTTCTTGTCGAGTTTAACGGCACACTTACAGCATATATGAAAAAGAAGAGCGCCGCGATAATGATCATGCTTTTGATGAGGCAAATTATTACCCAACATTAGGGATGCTAATATTTATTACTGTGCATTCGCATTATCGCCAGCAGTCATGATGATAACCGTTACTTTGCATTCTTTGCATCACCAGCAGTTGTTATGATAATTGCGACGACGCATGCCCTGCATCTCAAACAAGCTACTCCAGGATTAATTCGCATAATAATGAGCACCTTGTTGGATGTTATAAGAAGTGCCCCCGGTGTGTGGAAACTTGGGCAGGAAATTTGGTTTTTTCTGTTCGCAAGACTTCGTTGTATTGCTGTGGATGCAAAGCGTGGACTTTGTGTCATCGCTTCGTCTTCGCGAGAAGTAAGCTGTCAGCACCTGGGATGCAATCAGATGGTGATGATGATGATGCTGATGAACTATGCACCCCCGGCATCACCAGCAGTTATCCTGATGATAATCATCACTGTGCCTCCCCAGCATGAGCAGCAGTTATCAGAACAATCATGACTATGCATCACCTGCATTCCAAGTCGGGTCTAACGGCGCACTTGAAACGTATATGAAACAGAAGAATGATGATGATCCGGATGCTGCGAACCATCACCCAACATCAGTGGTGATGATAATCATCACAAAGACAAGGATGAATACAAACCCTTCCCATGCGCCTCCCCTTTGGTCGGCGGATTTTGGCTTTGGTATCGCTCTTGGATGTGAACCCCCTTGGGCTCCTGATTCCACATTCAGGCCATGGACCAGTTGGGATGGATGAAATTTCGACAACTACCATAACCCACTCAGCAAACTTACAACCATGGTAAGCGAGTTATCACCAGGGTTATTGCCCACTTGCTAAGTAGCCTCCCCCTTTAGGCAGGTACAGGTAGCCGCCCAACTGCGTTCGGATGCGCAGGCGCTGGGGTCCCAGCTCGGGCCGAGGCTGGCAGAGGCGCCAGGCGGGAAACTCCGTTGGTTTTGTTTCCGGCGGGCGGGAAAAATGCCGCCGGCACTTTCTTGTTGTTTTTGTTTGTCTTAGATGCTGCTTATGAAGCTATTGTGTTGTATTGTTTTTGTTTTCCACAACATGAGGTTGCTTGGGAAGAGCGCAAGGTCTTAGCTGGCTCCTTAGTCCAACCGTACAAGCGTTTGTTGCCCCAGGGCTTGGCAGCTGTCACAGCGTGTGACGCACTGGTTTCATGGCGCTTATTATGCTTGTTAAGTGCTGTTGGCAATGCTTGACTGCACATCCATCAGACTCACATGATATGTATTGGAGATAGTTCTCATCCCCAGCAGGAACAATCGCAACCAAACCCAAAGGGTTGATATTTGCTGCATTTAGGCTGTCCTTTTTGCACTGCGTAGCGTTTGCCGCCTGTGGATCTTCGGAGCAACTAAGTAGCTGTAGCGTGTATCAAATCGACATGAGCACATCTAGATTGCGTTTCCTGGTTCTTTTGGGATTCGAGCATTCATCTACTGTAGTAAAGGGGGCCATGTTATGGGGCACACTCACGAAACAACTCCGATGCGAACTGGGGATCGGTTGCTCACCAACTTCCCATGTCATTTTGGGGCAAGATGAATATTGTGGCTCATATGCCAAGCACAGCGTATCCTGAAAGAACCCCTCTGCGAGTGTCGAAGGATCCTGGACGCCAGTTCTCTTTGCAATTGTGTTATCCGACGAAGATATCGCTAAAGCTACGTAAATGCTGCTTGTTGGGAATGCAAGGAGGCTGTTCAAAGTTCTTCGCGGGAAGTGCAAAAGGTAGCCAGGCTGTTTATGATCCATGCTTTGGTTGCCCCAAATACCTGAGCTTTGTGCGCCATGCAAGTACTGATTGGCATTCAACCAAAGGCAAAGTTGGGCTCATTGTAATCCACCATTTAGATGGATTGTCACGGAAGCTAGCCATTGGGGATTGGCTTGACGTGTTTTTGACTTGGTCGATGTTTCGCCTGGTTCTCTCTGGAATCAGCTGTTGCGTTGGCTCGTGACTGCCCTAGATCTTTTGGCCTCCAGCTCTGACTCCAGCACAGGTGAAAGTGCGAAATCACCCACAGCCAGCCAAGGCGCATGCCTAAGATGGGAGTTGAGCTGTCAGCCATTTGGCTAGGGTTGGCAGTCGAGGGGTATGGCCATGTTGCCAGACGGTACCACATGCGCAGTGTCCAGGCACTTTCAATCTGGGTGACTGCTGCAGTTGTCCTTGCGTGTGTAGACGGGCGCTTTGCAAGAATGAGAAATGGTGGCTGGGAGGGCTCCAAGAATTCAGCCATGGGCCGAATTGCTCAACACTGCCCAGAAGGGTCCAACTGTCCTTGCAAGAAAATGGTGTCAAACCCAGGCCCCTTTCCATCACCCCGAGAGGGAGGTTGCTGACACGCAACCTGGGGCTTCCCTGAGGTCCCATGGGTTTGGGGAGAGAGCAAAGATTGGGTTCCCTTTGCATTGTTGGCAGGTCGCGCAGGGAGGGACAACC